CACTGTTCAGCGGTGGCTACAGTGCAGCGCCACCTGTGTTTGGGAGGAGTGACCATACAGCCGTATTATTGAGGTCGGGATGCGTTGAAAGATAAATCATTCCACAACTCTCCTCTCCTGTGGAATCATCTTCCTGTTGCAGTCTGGAGGCAGACACCGTCTCCACATTTAAAACTAGACTGAAGACTTTCCTCTTTGATAAAGCTTATAGTTAGGGCTGGCTCAGGCTTGCCTTGTACCAGCCCCTAGTTAGGCTGACTTAGGCCTAGTCTGCCGGGGGACCTCCTATAATACACTGGGCACCTTCTCTCCCTCTCTCCCTCTCTCTCTCTCTCTCTCTCTCTCTCTCTCTCTCTCTCTCTCTCTCATGTCCTGTTACTGCATCTTGCTAACTCGGCCATACTGCATGTCACTAACTCGGCTTCTTCTCCGGAGCCTTTGTGCTCCACTATCTCGCAGGTTAACTTATATTGCAGCGGTGCATGGATAGTGTGACGTGTGTGGTTGTGCTGCTGTCGTGGTCCTGCTAGATGCCTCCTGGTGCTGCTGTTATCATTAGTCATACTTCTACTGTTATTATACACATATGATTATTGTCACATACATATACTATCAGATATTATCAGATTATCTTATATTTACTTTCAACATATTTTACCACAATAGCCAGAATCATAATTATAATATTATTACTTTCAGTAATGTTGTTGTAAGCTACTGTCATTACTGTCTGTCCTGCATCTCTCTGTGTCTCTGTCTCTCTCTCTGTCTCTCTCTCATTGTGTCATACGGATTACTGTTAATTTATTATGCTGATCTGTTCTGTACGACATCTATTGCACGTCTGTCCGTCCTGGAAGAGGGATCCCTCCCCAGTTGCTCTTCCTGAGGTTTCTACTGTTTTTTCCCCCCGTTAAAGGATTTTTTGGGGAGTTTTTCCTTATCCACTGTGAGGGTGCTAAGGACAGAGGGATGTTGTATGCTGTAAAGCCCTGTGAGGCAAATTGTGATTTGTGATATTGGGCTTTATAAATAAAATTGGTTGAATTCATTGATTGAACCAGAAACCATGGATTATTAGAACCATCTGGAAACATGGACAATTATAAAGCAGAAGCCAAGAATATAAGAAGATGCAAAAAGGACTAAATAAGTTAGAGTTAAATAAGCTGATGGGATCACATTTCACTGGAGCTTACCTTGTATTATTTAATGTAATAAATAAATTATTTATTGATTGATGGTTAGGCTGTGTTTCAGGCAAAAAATTGAGGACCTCTTTAATTCAATATATTAAACAATATAATCATGCTATTTTCAACAACTTGTTGTTTTGGATTACCCATCTAAAGTGTTATTGTCCTGTTTCAGTCACATGCCAAAGCACAGTGGCCAGGCAATGGTTTGCACTACTTTGTTAATCAGACCAGATCTAGGTTGCATCCCATGACAATTATGAACATGCCAGCAGTTGGGCAGCAAGACATGGGAACTTTTCTTGGGTCTTGAGGAGCTGCAGCATTTGTAAATGGACTGCAGTGTTTCTAGCTCCAACTTTTAGTACCAGATCTCTGTGCTAGGTACCCCAACAGAGGGGTGACCAAAAATGGGGATGGTTAGGAATAGTTCCATTGGTACCATCCACAACTTTTCACAATGGAAATTAAAAAAATGTGTACCAAACTGAACTGAACCTTACAAGACTGCATGATAAAAACAGGGCTAAATAGCCCCTTGAAGGACCATTTAATTTTTTACTAATTGTCAGTCAGTAAAAAATTGCTAAACTTCAAAGACCACACCTACAGTACACTTTGTAGAGACATATTGCACCTTGTCTTGCCTTCAGAACAGCATGTATTTGCCTAAGCTTTGATTCTGCAATATGTTGGATGTTTTGTGCAGGCATATTGCACAGTACAGAGATGGTTGTGTAAGTGCAGTAGTAGTAATTGTGCAGTAGTAGTTGTAGTAGCCACTGAAGCAATGAAAGCTAACATGTTTATGACTGAGTCAGTTATCCTATGATGCAGGGGCATGTTTAGGTTCTGGCTTTTTGGCTTTAGCCACAGGTCTTTTTTTTCGGTCAATGTCAAAATATAAAAATATAAATACACACAGTGTTGCCAACTTGGGGATTTTCTCACTGAACTTGGCAACTTTTCAAACCCCCTTAGCAAAGTAGCAATTTGCTGCTGCTCAGAGTAAAGTCAGTCAGCAGATAGCAGCACAGCCTCTCTCTCTCTCTCTCTCTCCTGTGAGCTCTGCAGATTTCCATAGCCGTGGTCCGTGAGCCAAGCCCAGCTGTCCTCCCAACAAAGTGACTTTAAGGCCAAAATACACCGATGCCAAATTGGGCACCTTAAAGCAACTGCCACTATTATTTTCTCCGTACAAACCTCACACCGGCAGCAGCTGATTTTACAGGAGGGAACAAATAATTAAGAATGTGTCACTGACAGTATTTCACCTAGTTTATAAAGTTTCCCCTAACAATTTTCAGTACTTTTTTAAGGGAGTCTGGTACTTAATGTTGTTGCCAAAACACAACGTCAGATGCAGAGTAAAACTGATCTGACCGAATGTTCTCTGTCAGAAATCATGTTGCATACGTTATGGTGTAGCTCCAAAATTAACTACAACAGCAACTTACTTATTCATTTTTCTATTGTTGAAAACTCAGGGCCAAATTCACAAAAGGATTGTGTGGCTTTTGCGGCCGCTAAACCGGTAAAAATGGAGCAAACAGATACCATCTAATTCACAAAGCACTCGCAGAGGATGAAATGCTCCACTAACTGTGCTGCCAAGCAGATTGCATCTCGGTGCTCCGGTGTTATTTGCACGTATTTAAATGAGGTAATATGCATATATTTGGCACAAAAATTGCCCCTTTCTATGCAAATGAGCCTCATTGATAAACAACGTCTAATTCACTAACACCAGCGCTAATAGCCACACGCAGTTTGAGTGAAGTAAATAACGTCTTTAGGAAGCTGGTGCAAACTGGGCGCTCCTCTGTGGAAGCCTCTCGCCCAGACTTTCCAGTGATCGTGGCAGCAGTGATCGTCTGTTAAATCAGTCTGTAAATAATATTTTGACATTATTATTATAATCATTATTACTTTAATGGCATCCGAAGATACTGATGCGTTGAACAGGTGACAGTCTGCGGTCGTTCTCAAAACGCACTTCTGTCACGCACTTCCAAAGCAACTTTCAATAATTTATTTTACGAAACGGGGGAAACAAACGTGAACAAAAACGGTTCCATAATTCCATAATAATAATTAATAATTTAATAATTCCATATTAAATTCAAAAGATAATGAAAAAACAGCTACAAGTGAGAGGGAATAGTGATAAAGTGGTCAAACTTGGTCAAATCCACAGCCTCAACCCATCCGACACTGTTAGACTGACTCACCAGCAGACATCACTACATGAGGGTATACAGTATTCAGTACTTTGCCAAACAAAGTCTGCCATTGTTCTGCCACGGTGTTCTTGGTGCAAAACCAGCATTTATACTTTGCCATGTGGCTAATTGCAATCAGGGGCAAATCAGGGGCAAACTGCACTCAGCTGCCAAACTTTGTGGGCGTGTTTGCACTGGTATATCATTAGTGCAATATCCTTTGTGAATAGGACGTTAAGACGGAGCAAACTGCGGGTGCAAGTGAAGTACAATTCAAGGTGTTACCAGCGGCTGCAGTTCATTCTTTGTGAATTCGGCCCTCAGTGTGCAAAAACCCTTTCTTAAAATAGAGGGACAGAGAGAGACAGACCAGCAGCAGCAATTGAACAGTGAGCTTGTCTAATCATCACAGAACTTGCATGATATGTGGGGTGCCACCAGTTCCAAAAAAGTGCTTTTGCATTTTACATAGTTTGTCCAAACATTACCGAACTCTGTAAATATTTTTCACATTTCAGACTGCATGGAGCCTTAAATCATTCTCTTTTTGTGAGCGCCCCCAGATCAGAACATCATCCATATGGCAGACTGTGCCCTCCAACCCCTCGGTAACCTCTGTTGTCATCTGGTTCTGAAAATGTTCAGGTGCAGAAGCTATCCCAAACGGCAGCCGATTAAAATGATAACGGCTAAAAGGCGTGATAAAGGTTGTTAGCCTGGCGGACTCCTCTGCTAGCGGGATTTGCCACAAGCCCTTGTTGCAGTCAAGCTTGCTGAAGATACGTGCACCAGCTAATGAACCAAGAGTCTGTTCAACAGAGGGGAGTATATACTTTTCCCTCCATACTGACTCATTGAGCTTGGTGAGGTCGACACATATGCGTAGATATTTTTAACTAAGCCATTACAGCATGTCCCCAAAATGTTTCTGCAGTTGACCAAAAATAAGTAAAAGTGTTATCAAAGAAAAATGTTTTACAGTAAAGATTTGGATATAAATTAATAAGCATCTGTCCGATCATCATAAAACCTCTAGGGTATCTTTAATGTTGTAAACTGTCAAAGGTCTTGATTCTACCCAGCTTCCAAGTTTTAAAGGTCCATGCTGGCCTGAAGCCTGGAATTGCTGCTTGAGGCTATATTATTGGATTTTAATTATTGATTCATTAATGTTTTCATTACTTTAATGTTGCAGCTGATAAAGGTGGAACTCATTTTAATGACTTTATTTACTGTTGGGTCGTTTAATCTATTAAAATACATCATCATTTATTTGTTAATTATATTTCATATTAATAATCTGAATCTATAAATTAAAATAAAACTTTCCTGGGGGAGGATCCCCCAGATCCTTCTATTGAAGTGAGGGCTAAGCCCTAAAGGTGCACAATCTAGCCCGCTAAAATGATGGCATAAAAAAATAAAAAATAAAAAAATAGATAAATAAAATAAAAATGGACTCTTCCATTTGTTTTGCTCTTTGATCTTTATATATTTGTTCCTATCACTGGTCATACCCTAAACTTACTATAATGTTGGTTATTGTTATGTATTGATGTTTTTCTCCTCTTTCTCCTATCAGGTATCGCAGGTCTAGAGGAATGTGTTTTGAAATCAGCCACTCTGTCAACTTCCCCTGCCTGCCCTCCCTTCACCCCTCTCAACTTTGAAGCTACACCCATTGTACGGGTTGCCATAGAACCCAAACATCCAAGTAAGTCTTGTAAGATGCATGCACAGCAAGTTAGCGCATGAATTTGACCTTTTTTCACATTTTTTATTACTAGGACTGTCTAGTGTAGATGCAGTAATTGTGATGCGATTAAGGTTTAAGCACAAATCGCAAATTGCATTAATTGTGTGCTGTTATTTTGTCCCTTCATCGTAACATCACTTCACACAGGTGCACTGATGAAAATAATGGTGATGCCCCTGACCTTTTGTGTAGCTGATTCATTTTTCAAAATTCATTGGTGGCTCACTTTGGAAGTGAAAAGTGACAGAAATGAAATGAAAAAAATTAGATCTATGTGCTTTTTTAAAAAAATTCTATACATGGGATACTCGAGCTCCCATGCTTAAACTTCTATGGGAAAATACAGCTGGCCTCTTATAGTATAACACCCAACTTACTAATGGTGTAAATTATAACCAACACAAAAATGATAATAACTAGAATAAATCACCATGTAACAAAAAGTGACATTTGTATTTTGGAACTTGAAACAGTAAGCTTCAAACTACAAACCATCGACCCTCACTTGAGACAGAACCAAAATGGCGTCAGAGAGGGGAGAGCCACTGTTACCTGTCGTGTTATCGGAGTATCTCTTTACACGTGTCTTTAATTAGCAGCAACGTGAGGTACACAGTACAGTCTGAATACCAACAACCCAGAATTCCCTTTGGCACGTAAGGCCATCCTATTCACGTAAACACTTACTCCACATCTCCCCTTTTGAGTATGCCAAAACATCAGTAACTTTAGTGTGTTTTACCTGTTATGAACATAGCCATAAACTCAAAACTTTTTTTTTTTCCTGCAAATAAACAAACATTATCATTTCTCAGGCAACAAGACTATCTGAGGTATTCTCACATCATAGGAACTTTAACATTGTTTTGTTTATGTTTTTTTCTTTAACATGTAGTCTTTTATTTAGTCCAATTAAGTCCAGTCTGGTTTCACCACTACCCTGCCACATCTGGTTCTGACTGTAGTGGAATCTGGACTTGGTTTACGTGTTGGCTGTTTTGGGGAAGACACCACTGTGTGTGATGGTACTGCTGTCTGAGTGTCTTGTGTGCTCTCAGGATTATCCAGAGGAATAAGGTGATGACGGTTCCTGCGAACAGTACCATGAGGCACATCCACCATGTGCGAACGTGGCGCTGAGTATTCACCCACCACAGTCCCTGTCACTTGAGCATCAGTCAACCACACTTGTTCTCCAGGTGGGAGGCAGCTGAGCTCTTGCGCTTGGTGACGCTTATTGAAGAATTTTTGATCCGCACTCCTCCTCTCTTTCTCCTTTGAGATGACAACTGTGCTGTCTGGGAGTGCAGGGTTCAGCAGGGATGGGAGGGTCGGCACAGTGGAACAAAGCTGGTGTCCCATTAATAGTTGAGCTGGACTGAAGCCGTTTTGGAGTGGAGTGACACGATATGCCAGCAAAGCAAGGTAAGGATCTCTGGCCTTATTGAGCAGGTTTTTTACAGTTTGTACAGCCCGTTCAGCCTCACAGTTGCTTTTTGGGTATCGTGGATTGCTGGTCACATGCCTAAATCCATATGCTGCAGCAAAGGCTGAAATGTTACTCCCTGAGAATTGTGGCCCATTGTCAGCCATTAAATTCTCAGGCACTCCATGGTGTGCAAACATGGATTTAAGGTGGACTATAATGTCGGTGGATTTTGTGTGGCTAAGGTTAGCTATTTCTACATACCTTGAGTAATAGTCCACCACCAGCAGGTACATTTTCCCTTTCAGTGTGAACAGATATGCTCCTAACTTCCGCCAGGGTCTCTCTGGGAGATCTGTTGGGATCAGGGGCTCTGTGTGGTTAGTGCGTTCTTTAATGCATGTTCCACAGTTCAAAACAAGCTCATTCAGTTGCTGGCTCAAGCCAGGCCACCACATAGTCTGCCGCGCACGCTCCCTGCACTTAGTCACACCTTGATGCCCCTCATGCAGCTTACTGACGACATAATTTCTTAAGCCTGCAGGAATGACGAGTCTTGTCTCCTTTATCAGGAGGCCCTGCACACGAGCTGGACTCCGGCCATCCATCCTGGCACATTTTCATGACCTTGGAGCACACACTGTCTATTTTGAGATGTTTTCTGAGATTGTCCAGGTAGGAAGCCCTCGTTGGCAGGTTTTCCATGATGCTGTCCACATATGTATTTGTGCTCTCCGTGAGCTCTTTGTCTGCAGCCGATGAGTCTGTCGGCAGTGGTGCGCGGGACAGTGTATCTGCTGTCCAAAGGTTCTTTCCAGGGACATGGGAGATCGTGTAGGCATATCTCATGAATCTCATCCGGAAACGCTGTATCCGTGGGGGTAGGGTGTCAAAAGCTTGGGCCCCCAGGAGACTCAACAGAGGTTTGTGGTCAAACCCAGTTCAAAGTGTCAGCCTATGAGAAAGTCTCTGAATCGCTCATGGCCCATGTGAGCCCCAGGGCCTCTTTCTCCACCTGAGCATATCTCTGTTCGACTGGTGAAAGAAAGCGTGAAGCATAGACGACAGGCCTCCATTCTTCACTTCACTTTTGCAGCAAAACCGTACCTAATCCAAAAGAGGATGCGCCTGCTGCAGGGCTTGACGCTAACTTTTTCCCCAAGGAGCACATGTGCTCCTAAGTTGAAAAAGTAAGGAGCGCACAAAGAACTTTAGGGACACAATGTAAATTGATCAAATAATGTGTTTTCCGTAATAAACGTGATGCAGATAGACATTTACAAGCAAAATTATTTAATGAATTTGTATACAAAATATACAGAAAGGTAAAATCATCAAGTATTGCAATTTAATTTTGTCTTTAATGTTATTATCTTATATATATTATCTTTGCAATATGATTATCTTATATAATGTTATTACTATCCTAAAACATTCTCCAGGTCCTCTGAAACTCTGCAGGACTGAAGCCTCTTTCACACAGAGCTTTCGCGGCGCCCACCATGGGATAGGGCACAGAGGACAGGATTTGGGGGAGTACAGGCTCGTTCAGGAGCTACAGCTCCATGGTGACCGCTTTCGGGTCTACTTCAGGCTCTTCTCTGCTATTGGACGTGCGGCGCCGAGGTGTCGTCACAGCGCGTTGCGGTGAAATTAAAAAAAATTCATTTCGAGCGCAGGCTGGCAGCGCGCGCCGCTCAGCTCAGCTCAGCTGAGCTTTGCACTGGCTGTCCCATTGTTTGTCTATGGAGAGGGCAGCAACGCCTGACAAAGCGGCACCGCTACCCTTGGCGTCGCACATGATATTTATTGTGCTGACAATGGCTTGGAAAACCGCCCATAACCGTGTCACACGGGGAAGAGGGAAGAGGGAAGGCGGCTGGAGTTCCTCCAACATTAGATTATCACATTTTTTTATTGACAAAAATATAGGCTGCTTCGGCTGATTTTTTTTATGCGCACGTGCCCCTAAATATTTTTTACAGTTCGCACACACCTATTTTTAGTCGCAAATGCGCGTGAAACGCTCGCACTGTCGAGCCCTGGCCTGCTGACACTTTGGTGTCCTTATTTGGGTCATACAGGGCTAGCATGGGCGTGTGTGTTAGCTCCTCCTTCAGGCGGCTAAAGGCTTTATCCTGGTCCACTTCCCAGAACCAGTGGTTCTTCTTTGAGAGTAAGTCTCTGAGAGGTTTATCTTTCTCTGCAAGCTGTGGGATGAACACTCCCAGCTGACTTTCACTTTCTCTGACTGACGCTGTTTTGGCTGGATCAGATTTAACTCCTGCCTCTGAGATTATGTGGCCCAAGAATTTAACTTCTCTCCATGACAGCTCACATTTCAGACTGCATGGAGCCTTAAATCATTCTCTTCTTGTGAGCGCCCCCAGATCAGAACATCATCCATATGGCAGACTGTGCCCTCCAACCCCTCGGTAACCTCTGTTGTCATCTGGTTCTGAAAATGTTCAGGTGCAGAAGCTATCCCAAACGGCAGCCGATTAAAATGATAACGGCTAAAAGGCGTGATAAAGGTTGTTAGCCTGGCGGACTCCTCTGCTAGCGGGATTTGCCACAAGCCCTTGTTGCAGTCAAGCTTGCTGAAGATATGTGCACCAGCTAATGAACCAAGAGTCTGTTAAACAGAGGGGAGTATATACTTTTCCCTCCATACTGACTCATTGAGCTTGGTGAGGTCGACACATATGCGAGGGTCAGCTGTCTTTTTAGGTACCACCGCCATGTCTGAGCACCAATCAGTAGGCTCTTCCACTCTACTGATGACTCCAATCCTCTCCATGCGTTCAAGTTCTCTCTTGACTTTGGGCATTAATGGGAGGGGTACCCGTCGCAGAGTCTTTAGAGAAAATGGCACCGCATCAGGCTTCAGTTTGATGGTGTAAGGCTGCCGCATTAGACCAAAGCCAATGCACAACTTTGGATATCTGCTTTTCATTGTGTCTGTGTCGATGCTGCCCACTTGAGCTACCAGCCCTAGCTCTTCACTAAGTGGTCTGCTGAGTAAAGCTGAGTGCTGCTATTGTGCCAAGGAATATGCTATCATCTTCTTCCCGTACCTCATGCACAGTTCTTGATGATGCACACACTCTTTGTGGTGTCCTTTTTTTCCACATGAGGGTCAAGTTTCATCATTAGCTGTACACTGTGTTTTGGGATGTGAGGGACTTTTCCCACATTTGAAACATTTAGACAGTCTGTTTTTCTCTGTGCGCCCTTGGCTAGGCTTATCACCTTGGTTGTGTTTCTTCTTTTTCTGAAACAGTTTGCCTTTACTCATTATTCTGTCCACTGAGCTTGTCTTTCTTTTTACTCACTGTGTCCCCGCGCAGGTTGCTCGGCTGCTGTTTCACTGCTTCTGTCTGTCTTGCCATCTCAATCGCTTTTGCCAGCGTTAGATCTTTATCCAACTGCATGCGCTCCGACAGATGCAGGTCTGCTAGTCCTACTACTAGCCTGTCTTTTACCAGCTCCTCATGTAATGCTCCGTAGTTGCAATGCTCAGCCAACATGT